AAGAGTCTCAACTAGTTTTCTTCTCATTCGTCCGACAGTAAACAAAGCAGACTCAATAGAATTGAAAATAAGAAACAAACAGAGAGGTTGTATTAAAAATGTTTAATTAGTTTAACAAGAACATTTAACATTTAATTATTTGGAAAGAAATAACCTTGGCATAAATAAGAATTTATTCGACAAAAAATGATCTTCCGCCATTATATGAAAACAGAGTGATTGGAGGTGGTTTTTCATTGAGAGAGGGCAAGTCTTCGTTTAACCGCCTGAAGTTTATCCTTGAAGTTCTTTAAAAAATCGACTGACAACTTCATTCAGGGAACTACGGCTTTATGTGCAAATTTTGATGATGTTATTCCAGTGAATTTCCCACAACTTGATCGTCGAGATTGTGGGAAACGCTATTTTGTTTCATTTCCTGGCATCTTCCTCCAGGAACTCTTGTTAACCAAAGCTGATTAGTCCGTAGAAACTATGATTGAAAGCTGAGAAGTGTAGGTTTCGAGCCATGATCGGATCACTCGCATAGATAAATGCATACATACATGCATACACACATACATACATAGATACGTACGTAGATAAATAAGTGGCACACTATGGCAAGAAAGCAGGAGACTGCACTATAAATATACACTTTGCTCAACACGTAACTTCTGTCAACTCTGCCTTTAAAGTAAAGCACTGACTGCTGATGAATTTAATGAAATAGAAGAGCGCCACAAATGGCCCCCGGTCATGATAGTAATGGGCAGACCGAAATCCCAACAGTTACTGAATTTCGTTCTTTTCCATCAGTAAGGCATCGTGTGAACCTTACTTTTAAAAATGTGGTAACTTTCTAGCACGTGCTTTCTTGTAGGGAGCTAATTAGTCGATTGAAACTTTTATCACTGGCTAAACGCCAAAAATTGTTTTTACGCCTGACTATGTCAAATAACAAGCGACTCGAAGTTTATGAACGAACTGGGAGTTTTATTGTGTAAACGTTATTAGTTTTTTTGCGTAATTAAATCAGTCCTACTCATAAATGCTTTCGATTTCGTTTGTTGATGATAGTTGTGCAGTTGTC